CTGGTAATAAAATGTCAGTACAATCAGTGTTGTCAGTCAGCAGATTTTCACAGAGTGTACGTACGTGATTTAGGGATAGGGGCTCGCTTCACAGGATCTGCAGATAGAGAGCAGATTTTTACTGTATTAATACCTACAGAGACCAGTATCACTGACTGAGTGACCTGTACCCACAGTGACCAATATCCCTCAGTCAGTGATACTGGTCACTGTAGGTATAGGTCACTCAGTCAGTGGTACAGGTCACTGTGACTACAGGTCACTCAGACAGTGTTATTGGTCACTCTGAGTACAGGTCACTCAGTCAGTGATACTGGACACTGTGGATACAGGTCACTCAGTCAGTGAGTGTTACTGGTGACCTATACCCACAGTGACCAGTATCACTGACTGAGATACATAGATGTTCTGCTCACTGGTAACACTGCCACTCTGGACATCAGCTGGACAGTGAGAGGTGTCAATGATCCTATGATGTTATGATGTTGATGTTTCTTTATTAGCCCAACACAATTTCATGCATTAGGAATTCATCTTTTCGCATACCCCAGCTTTTCTCCATGGAGACACAGTCACACAGAAAGGGAGAGAAGCTTGGGGTCAGAACGCAGGGTCTGCCATTGTACGGCGCCCCTGGAGCAGTTAGGGTTAAGGGCCTTGCTCAGGGGCCCAATGGAGTAGGATTCCTCTGCCGGCCGCGGGATTTGAACCGGCAACCATTCCAGTCACAGGCGCAGATCCTTAGCCACAGAGCCAGCGCTCCGCCCAAGCTACTTGGATCCTGTCCAAGCTACTGGCCAGCAGACTGAGGACCGTCCTGCCCCACATCATCAAATGCGACCAGAGGTGTGGGGTGGAACAGCGATCTGTCAGCTGGAACCTCCAGCTCATGTAGCATGACATAGCCATGTAGGATGAAGCTATTTAAAGAGGTAGCCAGGTGGGGTTTCTACACGACAAAAGTGCACTAGACAGGACAGAGGGCTCTGTACAGGGGCTGAAGAAAACCCAGAAAAACCTGTCTCTTAGTGCTCCTCTTCAGAAATGGACAATTGCAGTTTCAGAGCCAGGACTGCATCCAGTGGTAACACCCAGGAGGCTTGGAGGGGCTCTTATTGTGTGTTTGAACCAGCCTCACTGACCACTTCAGGGGGGAGCTGTTGTGAAAACATACTCACAGTGTAAAAGCTCTGCTCTTGACCCAGACTCTGGAGTCAGCAGACTGTAGACTTCAGTCACTGGGGAGACACAAAGAGAAATGTCTCATCAGGGCTGCAGTAACAGAGTAACAGGAATAACAGTTGTTCTGATTCACTTGGGCTGTAGATTCTATTGTAACTGGACTGATCTACTGTACTGGGATTGTAGCTCCTATTGTAACAGGACTGATCTACTGTGCTGGAACTATAGCTGTTATTGTAAGAGGTCTGTTGTACCGTACTGAGACTGCAGCCCCTATTGTAACAGGACTGTTCTACTATACTGGGACTGTAGCTCTTATTAAAACATTCCTTTCGAACTATATACAGCACAATATGACAATACAGTTACTGTCATAAAGATTTGTGAGACTAAAACTTTTAAGATATTTTACTGAGAATTTGAATCATTGACAGATAAGCTGCACTGATAAATTCAGTCACTGCACAGAAAATCCAGTACCAATATAAGAGAAAAACAGGAAATATGTAAGATATTCAGAAAGACATCAGTGTGGTTCTCCACTAACCTGTCGTGGAAATCTTTATTGATTCCTTCTTGCAGATGTCCTCCAGTCCATCT